TTCCAGGTGCCAGTAGGGGATAAGGAATTCAGCAGCAAAACTGCTTTTCAGGGCTAATGAGATTGCTCTCGTGGTCATGACTGGCTTGTCTTGTATTTGAATTCTTACAGTGACAACCTGTCCTGAGGAAGTGGGATGGAAACAACAGGCAGGTGTGGGAAGACATGCTGTGCTTCCGGGCTAGGGAATCATCTTGTGGAGTGCAGTGCAATGGAAAAGGGTGTCAGGAACAACTTACAAGTCTCTGCCCTCAGACTGTAGCTAAGAAGCAAAGTGATTAATGCAGGCAGAAGAATATCCTGTTGTGTGTTACTCCTGTGGATTGCTGTTGGAATGGAGCCTGTACTTAAGTGGGTCAACACTCCCAGATGGATATTCACAAGGGGACAAGGATGGGAAGTGAAGAGCAAAGCTAATGTGAAGGTAAAGCTCAGTTTACGCAGCAAAAATATGTAGGTGACTTGAGCACTGTTACATGTAGGAGACAGAAATTAGTTATTTCCAGCAAAGACTTTGTAATTTGATGGGGAAAAGGAGTGATGATGCCCAGCGACTGCAGGATGTTAATCCAAATAAATCGAGAACAGATTTTTAATTGGTGAGGGTTATTAACCTTACCTGCAGGTATAAGGCCACACAGTTACAGTGCTGGAATCTAATCTAGTCTAATTTAGGCATTCTCCATGCTGCATACTCACTGCGGCCATATTTAACTATCACATGGTGTGTGAATGTGCTTCTGTCCCTATCCCAAACCTCATCTTCTTTTAATATACTCATAAATCTCTTGTGTCCCTCTGCAGTACTTCCACTAATAGAAGCAGTGGAGAGCACTATATAAAGGATGCTATGTACAGCTGAGCACAGGGACCAGTGGAGAAAGATGTGACATCAGTATGTTCTGTCCCTTGTGCCAGTGAGGAAGCTGGGAAATCTGGATTTCTGCTCCTGTGATCTTTCTCATGTCTGTCACAGCTGATGACAACCTCAGTTCATCCATGCAATGATGACTCTGGACATCACTGAGTGCACCCAATTGCCTTCAAAATACCACTGGTGGGTCTAAAGTGAAGAAAAAGCAATTCACACCATTCCCAGGTTGGCAACTTGGCCTGTTTTTTTGAGTAAAGTATTTTTGGGTGTGCTCAGTCATTTCCAGGTGTATCCATTGTCACCTGAATGACACCTGGCAGTATTTTTCCCGACACAGCTTCTTGCTAGGTTGCAAAGTGATCAGGTTTTAGATGGGAGCTGAAGGCTGGGGCTGCTGGATTTGTTTCAGTCTGAAGCACAGGAATTGGTCTTGTGTAATTACAGGTTGTTCTGACAACCTGTTCCTTGCAGCTGCCAGAGCTGAACTGTTCCTGGTTTATTGACGAATGTTTACCTGACAAGTGACTGTAACACGTTGTAAGGGTGTTCCATGAGGTGCTTGTGTCCTCTCAGGATAAACATCAGATTTGGTGTGTGTCCAGTGTGTCCCAGTGCGTGTTTTAAGGTGAATTTCTTGATGTGAGAGCTTCCTCCTTGAGCTGTGATGCCGAAGTCAGACTTTCTGCCCTTCACAATGATAAGGGTAGGAAAATGTGGCCTTTCCTCTCAGCAGCAGAGCAGCCCAGGTGGTGGGAGAGCACCTGGTGAGGGAATTCTCAATCCACATCCTTCGCAGGTAAGGTTTTTCTGGGCAGTCAGAGAGAGAGACAGGTTTGGTCTGGTTACTTTAATCGTCTGCTGGCACCTGTTAGAAGCATCACTTTTTGGGAGGCGCTGGAATGCTGCTCTGAACCTGCTGCATTGCTCTCAAAAGCTGTTTCCAATGAATCAGATGAATACTGATGTTTCATAGCTGCCCATGTATCCTGATGACTGGCAATACCTGCACCCAGCTGGGCTGGAATACCCCAGGCTGGCAGCTGTGTGTGCTGGGCCTTGCTCCATGTCCTTTGCAGCAGAGGGGGCTTTTGACACCAGGCAAGTGTCCCCACAGAGGATTCAGTTAAGGGATGTGTTCCTGAGAGAAATGTGTTGCTCTGTCCCTTTTGCCTGTGTGATCTCTTTGCCATGGGAAAACCCTGGTGTGTTTTGTGGAGGAATTGCCTGTTCCTTTCTATTAGGTCACCTGCCTTCATGGAGCATGTTCTGTCTTGACTGCAGTGAGTGTCCTTCAGGCTTCACACTCATTTCTGAGGCAAATGCAAGGGAGAACATTGTCTGTCACCTTGTTTTTCTGCCCAGTTCATAGCTGTGTACTGCCTGCAATCATTGCTGCTTCCTTAACATCAGGAGCAGAGGCCAACACTAAGTCAAGAGGGTATGGATTAAGGATTGTATGAAACAGTGGTCCTGGTGCCTGTGGATATGTGGCAGCTTCAGCCTGGGCAGTATTTGTCCAGAGGGGCAGCAGCAATGATCACACCCGTTGTGACCAGACTACCTTCTGCTGAGGTGTCCATGGCACCCCAAAGGGACATCCTACAAGACAGGTCTTCCTTTTTGGGCCCTTTGCTGCCACTGGGAGAACAGATCATGTGTGGATGTTAAAAAGTGCTAAGTACATGGAACTGGATGTATACTGGAAGCAAGTTTTGGCACATTAGTGAACTACCCAAAGGCTTAAATGGAGAAGGAGGCTAAGAAGTGGGAATATCTTGCTACAGGTATCTAACTCTTCAATATCTTGTACTGCAGAGGAGGGGAAGAAAGGAGGCTGAAAATCACAGATTCCAGAGGTGAGAGAGGAAGACATAAAAGCTAGGGACCCAAAATGGCATGATGGGAGAGAATAGCAGAAGGGGAACTATCATGAAGAGAGGCAGTGAGACATATTCCAAAGGAACCTGGATGCAGGAATGTGGCAGTTGAGTGGTGTGAGGGCTCCTGTGGTGTGTCTGGCTGGGCTGGAAGGGTGGAAGCAATGCCCTTCACTGTACAGGAGTACATTCTTACCAGGATGACTGACAGATTGAGGTCACAAACATCAAAGATATGCTCTGACACATGGGTTTTATTGACTGAGAGTGAAGGCAGGAAGGGTGTTTGCCTGAAAGAATACCCTCCCAACCTCCTAAAGGAAAAATAACTCTAGGAAACCAAGTGTGTCCCAAGGGTATGAGAAAAGCCCTTTTCACTTACTGCTGCATGACTATTGCTCACCTGCAGTGAATCCCAGTGCTGGCAGTCAGTGACACATCTCTGTTCCCCTGATGTGTTCCCCCTGTGTCTGATGGCTTTGGAATCTTGGCACCTGAACTCTGCCCAAGCAGGCAGAAAGCAGCCTGAACCAGCAGCAGATCAAACATCCTTCCATCCATCTCTGTTACTGAGCTTTCCTTGCCCAGCCTATCTTTGTGCCCCTCCAGAGAAGTGATACCATTTCACCAGTAAAACCAGAGCAGCTCTCCAGGCAAGCCACAGACTTTGGCCTCAGGGTATGGGCACTGTTCCTTTCAGGATTCTTCTCTGTTGGAAGTGCAGTCCTCGTTGCAGCAGTTCCTTTGCATTGTCTGGGTTCTAATATTCTCCTGTGTAGGTTTTGCTCTTCCCCCTCTCCACCACCAGGTAGCTCTGCTCTCTCTTCCTTGGGATGGAAGCAGCTGTCTTACTGGGGGAGGAGGAAATACCTCCAGGGACATTTTAAATTCTTCAGATGTATCAAAGAAGTAGAAACCCATTTAACACTTGCTAAAAAAATGGGATGTTTTATATGAAACTGGAAAACGGAATGGGAAGGGAGACCAGAGAAGGGGAGAGCATACAGGCAGTGGTTTTTCTTCTGGGATTTTGATAGTTCTTCCCAATCCATAAAAACATGAACACTGAAAGATGCCACTGTCCCTTTGGGTTGGTTTTTTTTCTGGAAAAAGTGTATGTTTGATATCCATTCAGGATGGAGGAAAATGGGACATAAGTGCCATGGCATCATTGCGCTGGTGCTTGCTGGGCCACAGCAGTAGCTGGTCACAGTAAGTTTGATGCTTTGGAACTAAGGATTTCATTGTACATTTAGTGCAGGTCATGGGATCTCAGAGGAGATCCACTGTGCATTGGACTGTCTGAGGATGATGAGATGAGAAATGGCTTTGGAGATCAGTGTGTCTGAGTGTCAGACTGCCAGCAGGGTGCTGCTGTCCTCACTGCAACACAGCCTTTGCCTGCAGGAACTTTGGAAGCTTTTCTATGGAGTTTTTGTAGTCCTGGTGGAGTCACAGACTTGAGGTCCTGTCTAAGCTGGCTGGGCACTCTGCTGGTTAACCCACTCACAGATCAGCTGGTGAGCAATAGCCTGTTTGGGAGGGAACCAGGGTAAAACACTGCCATCATCCTGCTTGGAAGATCTGGGATCTCTCTTGAGACCCTCCAGGATTTCCTCCAGGCCAAACCATCGTGCTTCCTCCAGTTCCAGGCTGTCCATACTGATCTGGAAAGAATTCAGAGAGCACCAGGTCCTTAAATCAGCTTTAAATATGGGCAGTGGTACTTGTTTGTTTTTGCTTCCACAAAGATCCTATGCTAGAATGCCCAAAGTGCTTTATCCATGCCTGAATTAAGCACTGTTGCCAGTGCAGGAAAGGACATTACTATCCACCAGTGCTTTGTTGTCTTGGTTTCCATAAGGAAGCCACAAACCAGGTAACTGTTCCATCATGGCATTGGCCTGCAAAGCACCAGTGACTGAGCACAGTAATTAAACATGGTACAATCTGCATGTTCTATGCCAATTTGATGTTAATACCAGAGAGCATCCCTGCAGAGTTCAGAGCAAACAGGACAGGGCCTGGATGTATGCATGACCTGTGGCTAATCTGGCACGTTGCCACTGGAGGTAGGATTATTTTGAAGGTTGTTCTTCATTTGTAGAAAAAGCCAATGGAAGAGTGCATTTGGAGAGGATTTGATGCTCTCATGACTAAACTCTGTGGACTGCAAGAGTTTTAGATAGGTAAAGCAGGCAGTGGAATGCTCACCTCAGCCTGCTGAGCCCTGACCAGAGCATGACAGGCTATCATTAAGGAGCTGCTGGGGAAGGGCCAGTGCTGGGACGCTGAGTACCGGAGTGACTCCACCTCCAGGCCCACCTCCTCTGCCACCTCTCGACGCACTGTTTCCTCCACGGTCTCACCTAGGAGCAGCCAAAGTTAGGGAAGGACAGCCTGGCCTCAGGGCAGCCAACCATGCCACACTTAGGGCTGAGGTGTTCCAGCCCTGACCTGGAGGGCTGAAACTCCACAGGAGCTCGGCTGTGCTGACCTGGAAACACCCATCAGCAGGATGTGCCAGTAAATACATCAGCAGTGCCTAGCTCTGATCAGTCAGAGACATTTTTGACCCTTTCTACACAGAGATGGCAGACAGAACAGTTCAACATCTCCATATTTTAAGCCATTTTCCCTCCTGTAGAGGTCTGTGGTTTTTCTTCCAAGCCAGACTGCACTGGACACAAAATGGACTAAGAAAGCATCCAGGGTTCTAACCTGGGGAGTCTTACGCTTGTATTTACCATCAGGGCTGGTAACCACACCTGTAATTCCCATTCTCTTCAGAGACATACAGCTAGCTTGAATTCTGTCTGAATGGGAACACTGATGTATTTAGATCCACTATGTTCTTCCCTGGTATCATAGGATCATGGAATGGTTTGTGTTGGAAGGGACCTTAAAGCTCATCTAGTTCCAACCCCCTGCCACAGGCAGGGACACCTTCCACTAGTCCATGTTGCTCCAAACCCCATCCAACCTGGCCTTGAGCACTTCCAGGGATGGGGCACATAGGGATGGGGACACATCACCTGTGTGTCCATCCTTCTCTGTGAACAGGTGTTTGGTTGATGTCTCCCAGGTGTGTCCCCCCTCTGCCCCTGCATGCCCAAGGCCACTTCCCTGGACCAGAGCACACCTTACCTATGTCACAGAAGCCTGACAGAGCTGTGTACATCCCCTGGGGGAACGAGGGCTGTCGGGCGAGGAGGCACCTGCTCCCATCAGACACCAGCGTGATGATCACTGGAGACATCTACCATGTGCACCAAAAAGCAAAACAAGCAGCTCAGACCAAACACGTAAGTGCAAATTGTTGCTTTTCCTGGCTGGGTGAGGGTCACTGGATGAATACTGAAGACAAAGCACCCAGTTACACATAAAGCCTTCCTGCTGCCTTTGCAGGTTCCCCTCCCTGGGCTTGTCACCCCAGGGCCCCTGTGGTGCTGCTCAGGTACTCACCTGTGGGTAGTAGGTTATTCCACTGGCCTGGCAGACACGCTTACTGCCAGCTGCATTCTTCTGGGTGGGCTGCCCAGTTCTGCTGCAGTACTGGTGGGAGTCATGCCAGCGGAGAAGGGACTGGGCCTGCCAGCACAGGAGAGAAACACAACCCTTATCTATACCCAGGACAGAGAGAATTCAGACCAGCCTCCCTGCATTACACTTTGGTGTATTCTCACCTGCATGTAGTTGTGTGGATAGAATCTGATTATCTTTGGAAGGCTTAGAAAGGTAAATGAAGTGTGGGCACTGCTTTGGAAAATGGGATTCTGCAGTCAATGTTTCCTGCTTCCAGCTTTGAGCATGTTTGGGGGAGGCGGGCAAGAGTTGTTCTTTCTTGGGGTATAATTGGAGTAGTAATGGGAACAGAATTCCAAAGAGTCTCCAACCCTGAATGTGTTCTTGAAAAATAGCCACAAACATTATAGAACAGGAAAGGGAACACAAGCTATTTCTAATTAAGGGTCAGGACAGCTGATTCTCACACACAGGCCTTTTCTTAGGGCATCCAAACACAGGGCATCTGCAGCTCCTAAATGAGTGGTTTAAAAGGTCCCAACCCTGGCAGTGTTCAAAGCCAGGTTGGATAAAGCCTTGAGCAACCTGTTCTGGTGGGAGGTGTCCCTGCCCAGGGCAGGCAGTTGGCACTGGAGGATCTCTAAGGTCCTTTCCAACCCCTAAACATACTCTGAAATAAGAGCAGCTCTGAGAGAAGATGTGTAAGTTTGCTTGTGTCATTCAGTTTGCCTGGATGACAGAAAACCAGTGCCTGAGTTGTCAAGCTGAGGACAAACTGGCATTGCTGTGATGCTGCTGAGATCAGCACATCTCACACTGAATAAGGAGCAGATTGATGCAAAATGGCATAAATTAAGCCACTTGTCTGTTTCTCTTGCCATTGCTTCTTAAAGTAAAAATCCCTGTCCATACCGCAGCCAGCAAGTGAGAATCCTTCCTATCCACCACAAACAGAGCCTTCCGCAGGTCAGTGAAGGATCCCTGCAGGTCTCGCTCAAGGACTGATTTCTCCAAGGCTCCTGTTAAAAAAGGAAAGAAACAACAGCAAAGAAATATTTGATCTCATAAATTTCAGTTGTTATCCCAAATTTACACCCTCATTCTTCCAGTATCCAATTTCTGGAAGTTCCCACAGCAGGGATAACATTCCCAAGTGTTGAGTGGTTGCTCTCGGCCCACCTTACCAACACCCACAGGCACAGGGACAGCAGTGCAGTCTGTCACCTGCCACACTCACAGAGACTCCACATGTTCACCCCAAGGAACAAAACCCTTCATCTCTGGACCAAACTGGTACTGGCATGGATGGAGGAGAAGTTATCCCAACCTAAATCCAGGGCAAAGTGCGCGATGTGCTCGTCTGAACAACCAATCAGCACCGACTTCTCTAGCCATTGCTCAGTCTCTGGGAACTTCTCCAGGATCCTTTTCAGCTCTAAACAGCAGAGGAGGAGGAAGAGAAAACTGTGATGAAAGCAAATCCCTACAACTGGGATGCTTTCTGGATCTTCAAGGCACAGGTAAACTTGGCTCAAGGCAGAGAGGGAACCAGACAAGTGATTCCACCCAGGTGGACACCTAAAATTTGGCTTTCCTCCTAAGCTGCTGGAAGGTTTGACCATGTCAGGCTAAAGGGCCAAATGTTGTAATGCTTGGGGAGCAGCTGTCCATTGGATCTGTCCCACACCAGTCAATCCCTTTCCCTCAAAGAAAGCTTTTCCTGCATTGCACCAAGTCTCCTCTGTCTGCTAGACCTTGCTTGTTTCCCTGCCAGCCCTTTGTCTTCAGTGTTTAAAACTGAGCACCTTAAAACAGAGCAGGTTGATACCACACCTGTGTGAAGAGCATGAGCTGCATGCCAAGGTTTTAACTCTAACTAGTCTTTGGCTGATAACAAATGGATTGCTGCACACAGCAGGATGTTCCCGCACAGCTCCATAGATTTTCATCCCCCATGTAAGGGGTTGCTTATTGCAATGTCTCAGTTTCATTTCCTGTGTGATCCAGGAGGTGTTTCTTTCAGGATACCTTCTTACCTGCTGCACGGAGCTGTGGGACCAAATATTTCTTCCCAGTTTTCTGCAGGAAGGGGGAGAGATTGTGAAAGAGGTAGAAAGTTCCTGAGCCCTGGGCTTGTCTGCAAAGGCTGTCATCTTCCTTCAGCCCATTTAAGTATCTGCAGTGAGACAATGATTGTGAAGGTGAATTTAAGATCAGGCTGAGATGATCAGTTATGCTTATTTGGATGCATTTATTTTGCACAGAGCAGAAGGGCTGAATGGACAGAACAGAGGTTATGTATTCCATGTGCTTCAGGAGTCACTCTGGTGGGCTGCAGCCTCTGGTGAGTGCTGTGTCACACAAAACACTACAGTTCTTACCACACCTCAAGTCTTGGCCATCTGAGAACATCAGTAACCCAGTCTGGTAATACAAAAGATCTACTTTAAAGACATGATCATTTGCGTGCAGGAAACTTTCATCTTCCCTTATAATACCCAGCCTGGATGGCTCCAAGTGCTGTTTGGCCAAACTACTGAGCACTTCCAATGTCGACTATAGTTTCCATCAGGCTACATTAGTGCAGGATATGTCCTACCTGTCACACTGATGTGAGGGGGAAAGACCAAGCTGAAGTCTTAGGGCACAGCTGGCCAGGGCCTGAGTTAGGGAAAATCTCATTGGAAAAAGGGTGTTGGGATGTGCTTCTTTGAGACTGTTTGAAGTAGTATTTAAAATAAGGTGAGCAGCATCACTTCTAGTCTGCCTTGTATTGTACGAGACCTCTAGCAAGCACAGGCATTCGTTAGCAGAGCTTCACCCTGAGAGAATCAGTTTCTATCAGTGGTGAAGGGAGCACAGAGGCTTCAGCTATTATCATCTGCAGAGCTTAGAGAGCATTACTGTGTGATAGCTGCAATGTTAAAAGATTAACCCCAGGTCAGAGTTAGGCAGGGCTGCTTATGGCAGTGGGAACAAGCATGCCAAGCTCTGGTCTTCTCCCTGTGATCAAGATTCAGATGAGAACTTACCTCATTTTTCTAACATAGGTGGAGTGTAACCTGCAGAGGAGAGAAGTAGTTCTTCTGTGCACTGCTTGGTAAACTGCAGCCATAGCAAACACCTGCAGCCGGTGTCCCTGCCTAAAAAGAGAAGCATGAAATGTAAGGCAGCAGCCCTACAGAATTAAGTGTGACTTAGAAGGTGCCATAACAAGGTAAATATCCCTCTCACAGAGTCTGCAGGATCTAAAATCACTTCGGTCTCAGTCTCCAGTCACACATCAAACCCAGTTTCAGGCCATTTTTAAGACCATTTAAAGACACCTCAGTTTGTTTCCAACTGTGAGTGTGCACAGGACTTGCTGTAAGACTTGATTAAATGTTCCTGGCCTAACCCCCTGTGTCCCTGGGGAAAAGGTCAAGGAAAGTGGCTGCTCTCGTTTGTCTGCTACACAGTTGGAATGACCTTGCTCCAGCAGCACACAGTGGATCTGTGAGAAAGGCAAGGATGCCAGGAGGGAATCAAAGACAAAATATCAGCTGTGGATGAGAATTCCCTGAGTTAGATGAGCGACAGCAGTTGCAGCTGAATTAGATCAGCTCCAGCTATGAGTCTTCTTTGTGCCAAAGATTCCTATCACTCTTTCAGCTCAGACAGTCACAGGCTGCAGCTTGACCTCGGCTTCAGGATGTCACGAAAGAGCCAGAAACCGCCACCTCCAGCATTCATCTGGACAGAAAGGAACCATGTCCATAATCCTTAAGGAGTACTTGCAATATTTCACTTTTCAGCCTTAGAACTCAAAGCACTTTAAGGAGGACTTACATTTGCTTCGATTTACAAAGGCATAAGCAGTGCCAAGGAAGAGTGAGAGTTCAGCAAAGGTCAGCGATGACTCCCTGAGTGGTGCCTCAGCAGAGGCTCCTGTTTACACGTGGAGGCTTTGCCTTGTGGCTTCTGACATCACTACCCCGGATCCTTCTTTCCCACTTCCTGGGCTGAGGGTGGTCCTCACTCTCCCTAGGGAGAGGCGGGAGCCAAGCCTTCCGGGGGGAGGATCAGTGTCCCTGCTCGGGCACAGGCGACTGTCACATACCCCCTGCCCGAAACGACTTCGTGCTGCGACGATTGTGTGTCTGTCACTTCTCCGCCCCCACGTCTCGCCTAGCCTGGCGTGTGCGATTCCCCAGCACAGCACCGCGCTGGCTCCGGGAGCGCTGCACTTTGCTCTGGAATCAGCAGCTGAATGTGACCGCGGCGGGGACAAGGGGAAGAGCTGTGCCCAGAGCTGTGCGTGCACCGTGTGCGGGTTTAACCGCTTCTGCCCTAGGACTCCCAGTGCCACACTTGGTTGGGATCACTGAAAGCTCTGAGACAGAGACAGCAAAAACTCGATCACTTTCCTCCTTAGAGACCACAGTGCCTCGTTTTATTTGAGATCATTGACAGCTCTGAGATTGAGACAATAAAAGCTCGATCCTCTTAGGGACCACAGTGCCACGTTCTGGTTGGGATCACTGAAAGCTCTGAGATCGAGACAGTAAAAACTCGGGACTGGGAAGGACAGCCCAGACTCCCGTGGCTCGCCTGGGACTCCATCTACGCAGCCAGCAGGAGAGAGGGCTAGGACTGCCATTCCCCACGATTTCCCCCACTTACTGCGCTCTGAGCAGAAGGAGCGCTGCCTCCAGCAGCAGGGCTTAGCTCTGAGGGGCCCAGCTTGACCTCCGCTGGAAGAGCTGCTCCCGCACAGCCAGCAGAGCGACTGTCTTACTGGGGTGAGTCACTGCTCCCTCGCTGGGAACGCTGGGAAGTGTAGTCCTGCACAGCCCTCGCCAGCGCTCGCTGCCTGACGCTCTGCTCCGGGTTTTCATTAACCTCTGGAGTGAGCCAGGCTGCCTGAGAATAAGCTCTCTTGCTTTTTTCCACACCTGCTTCGTTCCATCAGCAATCCACAGGCTGCGTTTGGCCAAACAGGAGTTATTATAATGCTACCGCAATAATTTGAGCTGTTCTTAGCAGAGGAGTTTGCTCCTGTTAGTTTCTTTCTCTTTTCTTGTTCTTCTTCCAAGCCTCTCTGTTTTTTTGTATCCATAACATAAGAGCATTGTTTAAAGTTAAGGACCACATGTCCTCAAACAGGAGAAGATGCCAGGAGCTGTATATATCTAAAGGCTGGCACTGCTCAGTGTTCCAGCACCCAAACCCACAGCTGAGTTTGCCAGTTAGCAGCTCTGATCAGAGAACTGTGCCAAGACAGATGTCAGAATAATGACAAATTATTTTCATTCCTTCATAACTGAACAAACAGATTCCTCTCAAGTACTGAAAACATGATTCTGGGCTGGAACCTACCTGACTATATTTAGCACAAAGAGAATTTTATAAACATAGGAAAGTAAACATTTCCAGGGCAGCCTTTTGCTTTTTGGTCATGAATTGAGCTGCTCTAATCACGTCATGTCATTGGGGAGTGTAGCTTGGAAAAATAACAAACAGAATGTGCAGGGAAATTGCACTGCTGTTACCAGAGTGACTTACAAGTTTAGGTTTAATTATGCTTGACTGCTATTTGTGTGCTTCCTGAGACCCAAGCTTATTAATCCACTAGGCTAATTGGATTAATGGACAAAACACATCTTCCCTTAATAAGATAAAGGATTGAAATATAATCTCTAAGGGAAGTATCCACCCTGCTGTTAAAACAAACTAACAGATTTATTGACCCTAAATGCCCCCAGAAATGGATCTTGCACGAAGAGTTGGATTTATAGGAAAGCAGCTGGAGGAGATACTTTGGACCTCAGATCTTGGGACAGCTTCTCAGCCTTGTTCAGCCCAAAGCAGTCAGCTGTTTGGTAAGTGCACCCTGTCATGTGAAGGATTGAAAGCCAGAGCACTGCACTGCAGTGTAAAGATTCCTCTGAAGGCAGAGCAGTGCTGCAGCTCCTGGTTGCTACTTGCAGCGGGAAAAACCCCATGGATTAGCCCAGTCATATATACCTGGGAAGATGTGCAGAGTAAATGAGATTGGAGTCACTTCTGCTACTGGTCTGACCAGTGGGAAGGTTCCTTGTGCCTTCTCCAAGGGTCTGTGCATTAATTTCCCTGTTAAATCTTCCTGCAGGGGAGATGATTTTGAAATAGAGGCTTTCTTGTCATTTATTCATGTATTTAATTCAAGGAGCACAAACACCAGTTGGCACTTTGGCACTGAGTTGCCTCTTTGTAAGCATTTTTGGGCTCTGAGTGGTGTCAATTCCATCCCTAAACTGTATTCATCAGTCCCCTGCAGACACTGCACTCCATGCTAGGAGCAATCCTGGGAGTGAAGCGAAAGCCTGAACACACAAATGCACCTCTGACAGCTTCCTGTAGCTTACTGAGTTGCACTTTGGCAGGACCCCAGAGGAAGTGAATCCCTGAGACTCTCCTGATGCAAGAAGAGCAAACAAAAGCAGCAGGCAAAGAGGACACAAGCAGTGAGAACAAACACTTGTCATCTCTTACATGGACAAGATTGCAGAACAGTACATTTTTGGCCCTGTGTTACTAAGATTATTTAAAATACTCATGTTGGGATTAAGAGTTGGTAAAAGATTTTTCAAGCCAAAAAAGTGGCTGGAAAATGTAATTCTAGGGTAATAATGGTTATACTACTAATCTTGCTTTTTCTTTTTGTTTTGTGCCTTTCCAGCTGCCCCCAATAAGCAGAAATAAGCACTGGAATTGCTAACAGCTGTCCCTAGCAGAACAACTGTTAATTGCTTTGAATACATCAAACTAGCAAATTCCCATTGAAAACTTACGGTCAAGCCACAAGAAACCTCTGGGTAAAAAGAGATTTCTTTTTTTAGCCTAAGGAAAGACAAACCACTCCTTTAAAGAGAAAGTTAATGAGTAGCCTTCCCCTCTGTCATTAAATCTTAGATGCAAACTGACCAAATCTGTCTTTTCTCTGAAGTTAGATGTGTATATTAGGTATAGGATGGACTCCTACAGTTTCTCACGCTCAGCGTGGGGACCTTGAGAGAAAGAAACTGCCTAATCTGATGTGCTCGTTGCATTCTGTGCTCCTAACTCCTGGGCAGGTGGATAGGAGACACTTGAACACCTGATTGGTATTTTGGTGGGATTTGCTGGTGGGTTTTGTCTTTTTCCCTCCCCTGGTGCTGCTGTTGGTTAGGGAACATCCTCAACTCTGGCACAGCACTACAGAATTGCTGACAGGATGTTGTCTGCAGGTAATGGCTTCATTATGGGAGCAGAGTAGCACTGCTTGGGGAAACTGGATGAGGCTTCATCCCTTTACAAAGGATGAAACCTCAGCTGCGGATACACTTTAAAAAGTAAAGCCTTTTGAGCTAACTTGGCTTGATAGGAAGATGACTCACCTGTGTCTTAAAACACTGCATGCAGGTCACAGCCTGTCACCTCCAAAAGGATACTGAAGATATGGAAAAGGTTCAAAGAGGACAACAAGCATGAGCAAAGCCTTGGCCACTGCAAAGAAGGAGGTAGTCTCTGCTTTCAGCCTGTGTAAGGTATGGGTAGTGAGTGTTTGCTGTCTCATCCCCTGCAGGAACCTGGTTAATGTAACTAGCTGGAGCCTTCTTCCCCATATCCAATACAATCCTTATTGTATCCCAACCAATAAAATCCTTAAGATGCTATTTGTCTTGTTGCTGTTCTCCACTGCCTGCCTTACTCTCAGAAAATATCTGGAGAGTGCAAAAGATGTTGAGAAAGCAACAAATCACACTAGAAGAAATCTGACTGTGCCTCTGCAGCGTGCGAGGCTTTGCCAAATCTCTAGAAGCTGCTGTTAAATCTCTGGCTGGATATTATGGACTCTTTGGATAATGGGGCTTTAACTCCATGCCTCAGCTAGAAGTTTGGATATCATTCCAATGTTTCCTGCTAGCTGTAGGAGTTGTATTGCTGTTGGAAGAGGCCCAAAATGAGAGGAAAGGAAGGCTTATTTTTTGACAGATAATTCCACTAAAAACTGGCCTTTTTCCTGCTCTGGCACAGCAACACTCACTGCTGGCCATGTCCTCAGTTCTGTGGACACAGATGTGTCCACATCTGGATGAGAAATGACTAAGACCA